GAGTAGATTATGAGTAAACTAAGTACGCTCAAGAACAACTCAACCTTCACACACAAATGGCTCTAGAAAGCTATGGAAAATGATGATATTTGAATGCAATGAAAGTATAGATGTTGTGAAGTGAATTGGTGAGAAAAGCAGACCCAAACACCCCTTTTTATAGTGCCAAAGAAGGCTCCAACGGACCAATGCATTAAAGGGGTGATTGGCTTGATTTATGGGATTGAAAAGATTTGGGATCTGCAGAATATTGGCTTCCCATCGATGTTTAGACTCAACCATCGCTGGTAAGCCAATTTTCCTTCAGTTTTGAAGTCAACGGTCACCTACCCATCGATGGGTACAAGCTTCCCATCGCTGGGTGGGAGGTTGACTTCGAAACAAGGAAAGAATCAACCTTTAATGACCACCAATGGTCATGCCTTCCCATCGATGGTATACCCTTACCATCGCTGGGTTCCCATCGATGGGATAGGTTTCCCATCGCTGGGCAAGGTCGTTCTCGCTTGTGTTAATATTGCACCAAGGCTTTAACAGCGATGGGTGGAACTCCCCATCGCTGTTTGGCATGGTTCTGGAAACTGGTTTGGCTGAGGGGCCGCTTACCCATCGATGGGAAGATCTTCCCATCGCTGGGTGGGTGGTTAGTCAAGAACCCATGGTTTTTGCCTTAACCACGGCCTAGCCAACCGATGCGAAACCCAACCGAAAAAATTCAAAGTTCTCCAAAATAAAAACCAAGTGTTTAAAACACTTATTTGATGTATTTGTCTAAGAAATTAAGTAAGACACTTTAAAAACCACGTCATTTGAGTGAAAACCACGGCTAGCCAAGTTTATGCCGTTTTGAATGATTTTTGTCAAACGACCTAAAGCGAAAGATGGTTTTCAAGGTGTTTTTTTTGGAGAACCATTTAAACATGCCAAAGAGTGAAAACCAATCATAAAAAGTTGAAAACCACTTGGTTGGTTTGGACGCCAAAAACCATAGCCGATAACCGAGAGCCGAACGCCGGTTTCTGAAACCCGAATGCCGGATGGCTTGGTTTTTGGATTGGGCGAACACCAAGTGTTTTTAATGACTTAAACATGTTTGAAAAACATTTTTATGATTTAAGAAATGCAATGAAGGATTTTAGCCTAAAGAGCCAAGGTGTAAAGATTGGGTCGGTCTTGATCACAATGAAGACCGACTCAACGACACTAAGACTAAGGTCTTCGTTCTTGGTCTTCTTTTATCTCTTGTTCTTGTCTTCCTTCTTCGCCTTGTATATTCAAAGTTTGACTTGATCACGGCGGTTTGGCATTATCAAAACCTGTCACAAAAACAAACACGGCTTTAGTACGAAAACGTGACATGCCCGTGTTTGATTCCCTTCGGTATCAAAGCCAAGGTCACGAGTTTGATTCCCAGCGGGAGCAATTGCTGAGGGGGAGATTGTTGGCCATGTGTGCAGCAATTGTCCCGTGGCGGAGGCTATGTTGGCCAAGTCACAATCGAATGTCGTGGATGCTTGTGTGCGGAATGCACTATAAGGCTAGGGTATGCGCCTCTTCTAACACCAATTGGTTTTATAAGAGTTGGTAGCGCCTGAGGTCCTACAAGCTTCCCATCGCTGGGTGGGAGGTGTTGGAAAACATTTTCCCTTTGACATTTTGCTAATGACAATGTTTGTTTCCGTATAGGTTTTGATATTGACAAACCGTCGGGAACATGGAACAAAATGAAAAGATTCAAAGAGATAGAAAAAGTTCTTTTAAGAAAAAAAAAGCACAAGAAAGGCATTGACGCTGCTAAAGATGGCGGCATTGGCGCTTTGAAGACGTATTCTAAATACTTAGGTTTTTATTGTAACAAGCTCATTCAATTTCTCTAAGTCATGGCTCAAAACAAAATATGTTTTTCATGCATCAAATGAGTGTTTTCATAAATGGTTTTAAGTTTCTAAAACCCCTGGTTCTTGCCCAACCAAAACCATAACCATCGGTTATCGGCGTTCGGCTATGGCGTTCGGTTTTCGGCATTGGTTATTGGCATTGATTTCAGCCAAATGGTTTTTGGGTTTTTATCTTTGTTTTTTGATTCTGAACACATTTAAAGGTTTTCCAAATTATTAGTTTTCAAAAACCATAAGCTTTGTTTTCCAGCGTTGGTTATCGGCATTCGGCGCTGGTTATCGGCGTTGGTTTTTGGCGTCCAAATCAATCGAGTGGTTTTTAAGATTTTATGATTTTGTTTTACTTATGGGCATATAAAAATAGTTCTCCAACAAAAACATGTTAAAAACCACCTTTCGTTTTTGGTCTTTTGGTGAAAACCATGTGAAACGACATAAACTTGGCTAGTCGTGGTTTTTACCTTAATGAAGTGGTTTTTAAGTTTTTATACTTGGTTTCTATACAAAATACATTATATAATAGTTTCTAACACTTGGTTTTCATTTTGGAGAACTTTGGTTTTTGAAATCGGTTTTCGGCGTTGGCAGCCAAACCATGGTTCTGGCGAACCAGCCCAACATGCATGTAGGAATTCCCAACAGCG